CTCATTCTCCCCGCCTTCCCTCGCGCCACCCCGTCCGGGATCAGTCGTTTCGCCCTGCGTTTCTCGACCGCAACGAAAAAGCCGCCCGCGACGCCCCGGTGACAGCGGCGCCGTAGCCGCCGGCCCCGTCCAGGGGAAAGGGGGTTAAATGAAGTCCCCCTCTTCTCCGCAGCCTCCGCCGGGAAATGAAAGTCATTTACTGAAAGCGGAAAGGAAGGAAAGAAAGCGCCAAAAGATGTCAAGGGAGTGACGGTTGTTGTTGCTATTATTACTATTATTATTGCTATTAGTATTATCATTTATTGTAACTATTATTATTTCGGAGGAGTGTGCCCGCCAATGGCGATCCCCGCAGCAGGGACACGCCAGCAGCGGCTCCTTCGCCGGGCACCAGCCAAAGTTGCCGTCGGGACCGCTCCGATACAGCGGCGAGAGGTGGCCGCGGGGGTGTGGAGGCGGCCGCCCTCTCGAAGACCGGGGGCAGCTCTGCCTTCCACGCCCCGGGACCAATTTCTGGTTTCTCTCCGCAGCCCCGAGTGGCTCTGGCAGAGCTGGAAATTGCTGGGCGGGGGGAAGAGGGCGCGAGGCGGTTTGGGAGGGGGAGTGATGGAGAGGGACAGGCGGAATAGGGGGGGTTGGAGCAGGTTTGTTAAGCAAGCAGGTGCTAAAAACCAATAAGACTCGTCCGCACGCGGTCCCCGCCGGGCCTGGCGACAATTGTTTCCATTTAATAAACATTTTCCCCAAGGGCGTTGCGCGGGAGGCAGGCAATTATTCAAGGGGAAGCGGGACGCGCGGAGCCGGGGAAGTGCCGAAGCGGAGCTGGGCTGAGCGCCGCGCCAGGAGCCCCGACGGCAGCAGCGCAGAACGGGGCGCGGAGTGGGGGGGCGGGGGGTGGCTTTTCTCCTAGCCCCCCCCCCGATCTCCTCATAAAAGCCGTCCCTTTAATCATTGCATTCAGTGAGGCTTTTCCCCCCTCCTCCCTCCCTTGCTTCCTTCCTCCCCCTCAAACCCTCCCGCTGCCTCGACCCTCCCCCTCCTCTTCCTCTCGCCCTTCCTCTCTGCCCGGCTGCTTTTTAAGGTGGTCCCCCCTCGGCGCTGATTGGGCGCCCGGCCGCGCCGTAAACGCCCTGCCGCTATGTCAGCGTGCGCGCCGCAGCCCCTCGCCTTTGAACTGCCCCGCGCCGCGTCCCCAGCGCCGGCCCGCAGCAGCGCCCGGCGCCGAGACGCCCGCCCAGCCCGCCCGTCCAGGCCGCCGGGCCTCGCTGGCCGCCCCGCTCCGTGCCGGCCAGCGCTGCCGCCGGCCACGGCCGTGGCGGCAGCTCTTGTGATGATCAGCTGAGCCCGCTGCTGCCGCCGTTCCAGATCCTGCCCTCGCTTGCCTCCTTCCTCCGTGTCCTGTCGCCTGGTGCAGCCGCGGGCGGCAGCCGCCAGCCCCTCACCGTCCCSTCTCGTCGCGCCGTGCCGAGCCGCCCGGCGGAAGCATGTCCAAACCCAGCGACCACATCAAACGCCCCATGAACGCCTTCATGGTGTGGTCCCGCGGCCAGCGGCGCAAGATGGCCCAGGAGAACCCCAAGATGCACAACTCGGAGATTAGCAAGCGGCTGGGCGCCGAGTGGAAGCTGCTGTCAGAGGCGGAGAAGCGCCCCTACATCGACGAAGCCAAAAGGCTGCGGGCGCAGCACATGAAGGAGCATCCCGACTACAAGTACAGACCCCGGCGCAAGCCCAAGAACCTGCTCAAAAAGGACAGGTATGTTTTCCCTTTGCCTTACCTCGGGGAAACCGATCCCTTAAAGGCCGCCGGGCTTCCCGTGGGGGCCACTGACTCTCTGCTGAGCTCCCCGGAGAAGGCCAGGGCTTTCCTGCCCCCCACTTCAGCACCTTACTCCTTACTTGACCCCAGCCAGTTCAGCTCCAGCGCCATTCAGAAGATGACTGAGGTTCCTCACACCTTAGCCACCAGCACTCTGCCCTACGCCTCCACCTTGGGATACCAGAACGGGGCGTTTGGCAGCTTGAGCTGTCCCAGCCAACACACCCATACTCACCCCTCACCAACTAACCCTGGCTATGTCGTGCCATGTAACTGTACGGCTTGGTCGGCATCCAGTTTGCAGCCTCCAGTTGCCTACATATTATTCCCGGGCATGACCAAGACTGGGATAGATCCCTATTCTTCAGCACATGCGACTGCTATGTAACACCCACCCACACTCCCGCAGGCGTCCCGTCCCGTCCCCTCTACGAGGGTTGCAGCCGGAACTGGGATTCATTCATGCGCATGTACATT